GTGGAATCAGTGACTATCGGGAACTGGGATAAATTGCTGAGATGGTCGACCCCGGTTTTCCAGCTGGTGGAAGGATTCTGCAGCTTATTGGTCATCCAGGCTGCAGGGCAGATTACCCGCTGGCTTGTCAACCGTGGTGGGCGAAGCGATAGTTGGATGGTATGTCCACGTCACTCCATAGCCCACATTGGCAGGATGCCTATTTGCTAATTCGTGCTTCGCTAGATCGGTCTCCTGGTACTCTCCGCCTCCATCATATCGAGCTCAGTATACTTTCTGTGGCGGGTCCTCCAATTCCCCGAGATCTCAAATGTTGATGCCGCTTTGATCGGGGTATCCATCACCTGTGCTGTGATCCTCTGCGCGTGGGGCATTGGCAGCGGGCGAGGAAACCCAGTAGAAAGTTCGCTACTGTTCGCATACATCGTTCTCTGCATCTACCAGATTTTCACTGATTACCAGCCATCGCATCCTGTGGAGCAAGTACCTTCCCCCGCTCAAGCCGGGGACTTCCCGCCGCTTCCTCCTATTATCATGGCTTCCTACACAACCCTGATGCACGCCTTATCCACCTTGCCCTCCATCATCCACGCCGCCTTCAACGTTATCACGGCAGTGTTCGGTGCCGTTACCCCGTCCGTATTGATCTCGCTCACATATCGAATCCTGGTTCTGTACGCATCGACTCGCATCATACCCGCCGTCCGCGAAGCGGGTGCCCGAGCTCTCTCCCAAGAAGCCTCGTTGGACGACTCCGATGCGGCGGGCCAATTCTTGGGCGTACTAAGCTACTTCTCTCCGTCCATCCTCATCGCCGTGTATACCAGTCTCCTGATGCAGCATTTCGCTTCTACCTCTCAAGCAATGGGTGGCAGTGGCGAGTGGTGGAGCACCCAAGGAGCCGGCGGTGGAAACCTTTGGCGGTGGGCCAACCTCGCCGGCACCATGGCCTTGTACGCTGTCGAGTTATACCTCGGTGAGAACGACGATCTGGACTCCGGACTCGCTGGTCACTGGAAGACCGACTGAATGGAGCCGTTAAAAATCTGGATGCAACATTCTGGCATCTTGTCGACGTGGACTGCGGAGATACCGCAGCGTTCGTCGAATCGCTTGACTTCATTTACAACTATCGAGCCGGACACGGACGCCTTTCGAAGCCTACAGCTGAGGCTACTATTGCCCGGATTCTTCGATTTTTCAGGCTAGACTATGCCAGGCACCTAAAGCTTGCCTTTCGCCGGAGCTTCTATTCAAAGCACTTCGAAAGCCAGCATTGTCATTTTGCTATCTCAGATACTATTACATTTCTTTGAACGGGGACCGTAAGCACAAAAGCTTTCACATTGGCCCTATTTGCAGCATCCCACTCTGAGTATGTTACTCCGGGAATCCAGGTAACGGGGCAGCAAAGAGCTCTCGACAATACCCTTCACACAGCTATACCAAAGCCATGCAACCATTGCCCCCTAGCTGGGTGGAAATGATAATGTATAGCCTGTGTCGGTCATGAGCACCCCACCCGCGACGGCGGGTTCAATTATGGTGCACTCGGCTTATTTTGCTGCCTTGCTAATCCTGCAAACACTCTGTTGGCCCCTTCCGCTGGGGATTCAGGTACCCTCCTGCCTTTCATCGCTCCTTTTAAACTGGTCCTCTCTCATTTACACTATGGTCTTGCGCGCCACTCTTGTTACTATACCCCAGTCGTTTTGCTGAGTCGTCAGATTATTTTTTATTTATATTCAATTTTTTTTTTCTCTTCCAATTCGCAATCAAGGATCATATAACAGCATGTATTGCCCCATCCCAGGCTTTGTTGCCTTTTGTGTGCCTTAGACGACTTCTTATACCCAATGACAGTTTTGCGATGGAAGATGCGATGTCTTCCCCCGCCTGTAGCGATCTTGTATTGGTAATCTTCATGTTACACATAGCGCAGAATATCAACTGAGCGGAATCACGTTGCCGGCACCCAAGGTACGCTATCCTGCCCTCCTAATCGGATGGGATAGTGAATGCACACAGGATGCATTCCGCCTACCGTATCAATGTAGAGCCCACACATACGGCAGGGGATCTGAGACCGCGACACGGAGAAAAACCATCAAGTTGCATTTTGGCCCTGCTGAGGGCTCGTTTGCCAACGTACTTCAGGAATAGAACAGATGCCAGGTGCATTGCCATCTCCGAATTAAACAGTGTATCCAGCACGCATTCACTCACGTAATCCTTCATCCATAAGATAACAACAGTATGCGAAAATGATCTCACGTTCTGTGCGGCATCACACACACATATGAGCGGGAATGAACGCACCAGGAAGAGGCCTGTGGAATAATTGGACCAGCAAATGACCAATATATGTTCTGCAGCTGATATTGACAGAGAAGAGAAGAAGCTTCAAAACGAAATAGCGTTGAGGTGACCTCAAAGCCGATACCACGAGCAACAAATCCTGAGAGGACGGGTCCAGTAAGCGAGCTTAGTCCAAGTAGCCAGGCTTAGAGCACAGCTCCGGTTTGAGCTTTTGATAAGTGGCCCTGACTGAACCGAGCCTCGGCTCCCGCCGCCCTTGCAACTTCATTGCCGCCAGCTCTGAAACAAAGCCATTCTGTTTTGTCCACAGAAATCGCTAGAAACGGAAAGGGGAGAAGGAAGAAGGGAAACAGATGTCGTAAATACATTAGAATCGATCCATAGCGCCAGGCTCTTTTGATGCCACCACCACCGACGGGGAAACCAGAGACATGATGCGAAACAAGTGTGAACGGGGCATGGAGAACACGAATGACAGGTTCAGGTATTTATTGCCGGATCGGAACACCGCCACGCGCAGGGGGTGGGCTCACGCTGTCATCTTCCTTCTTCTCGGCTTCCTCGGTCTCATCCGCACTTGTTTCCCGTTGCAGATAACTTGCCTCCTTCACAGGGCTTCGGCTCTGAAATCCGATGGAGCCGGGATGGCCACTGATGCTACCTGGGATCTGCTGGCCTCCTTGAGCACTGATGCTGCCGCCATTGCTTGCAGCCGCAGGGTTGTTAGCACCAGGCGAGGTGGCAGTTAGGTGAGGAATGTTCTCCGGGACGGGGTGCTGGGAGCCGATGTTGGTGACACCGACGTCCGAAGCCTTTCCGGCCTTGCTGAGTGCGTAGTCACCCGAGTCAAAGTATTTGCGCTCCTAAACAGCAACAAGCCCGCGATTAGAGAGTTGACGGACAGACTGGGCGAAGACAATTAAGTCGGCATACCTTCAGTTTGTTCTGCAGAAGGTCTTTCTTGGTGGGCATCTTGCCATAGAGGCGGAAAAGCCGCTGCTCATCCGGGCTCATTTTCTAGATAGACACAAAGTCACTGTCAGTCCAATAAGGAACATTATTTTTCAAAGGGATTAGTCGCTCGGGAAAGACTCACGCTAGTATCGATCTTGTTCTGCTGATGGGGATTCATATTGGCGAACCAAAGTTTAGAAATTGAGGATTAACAGGAGAGAAAGAAAGAGAATAAAGTCGGTGATGAGAAATAGAGGAAGGAAGAGTTGGGCAAAAATAAGGTGAGGTTGTTAGGTTGTTGAGGGGGGGGGGGGACAGGACTGGGTGAGGCGTGGTCACTGGAAGGGAGTGTCGTCAGGAAACCCCACCGATGGCGGGGAGGAAAGTATAGATTCCACAGGATGGGACGACACCAATAAGTTGGTCGAGTTGACTGAACCAAAGGGGGGTGGAAGGGAAGGGAAGGGGGTGAAAGCAAGAGAGAATGAAGAAGATAAAATTGAAATGAACTAAGTTGGTGAAACCGAGAAGATAAGAGAAAAGAAGAGAAAAAGGGGGGAGGTGGAGGGGATGAGTTGAAAGTGGGAGGAGGAAGAGGCAGAAGAGCAAGTCAAGCAAGCAGTCCGAAGATAAAGAGAGAGACAGAGAGAGAAGTGAACCTTGCCCGTCATAATTGGGGGAAGGTGCCACTGCCCGATGGTTGGCTGTGACCGTCTCAGTACCAACCCTGTTCTCCGCTAATGTCGATCCACCTGTACCCACTATGCCTGTTATAGTATGATGCTATCTGCATCTGGTTTAGTCTGGTGTATTCTGGAACGGCTCCACTACCTCGTGACTATACTGTTACATACTAATACCGACGTTGCCGGCAACTCACTTCCAGCATAAATCAATCGGTAATTCACAAGAGTTAATTTAACGTGTGTATGGACTGTTGTACAATTTCATGTTCACCATAAGACCTATGTAATTCTGCTTGACGGCGGAGTCAATGCCATCAGTGGTTTTTAGTGCAATTAGCAAATTAAAAGAACTACTACTTAGATTCAAGTGCCGATAGTCGTTATCGTTGTTGGCCTTGATAAGTTGCCGGTTTATCGATTAGAAACCAAACCCAGCCAACCCCTCAATGTTTCATTGTGAAATCAGATGCAGAGAATATCCAACAAATCACTCACATTTTCTATTTAATTATGCAAATATTCGATTAAGAAGTAAACTGCCTCATCTGCTTCAGAGTTCCTGGAAATAATCGCACGATGTAAATAGGGAGTGGTAACGTGATGGTGGTGGTGGTGGTAGTGAACTTGTCGGGGTGGTATTATTAGTACTCGGTATTCGACCTCGAATTGACTTCAAACGGAATCAAATTCAGCAGCTCTTCTCCATTCTGCCCCTCCACGAACGCATCGCACTTATTCCTTCTTCCAGTCTTGCTGGATTTTATCTCCACGTAGGCTATTCCCCATTGTTCTCTCTCTGTCCATACAATTCATAATTTTGAATTATCTTGTGACATTTTTTTTCTCCCTATTCTCATAATTCTTGGTTGCCGTTATATTCTGACGACAAGAAAAGGGAAAAAGAAGAACAAGGTATAACTACCTGGGACGACACACTTTGGCTGGTTCACACCACTTCTCTCGATACACCCATCCAATTGTAAACGCTCTAAGCCATCGTCTCAACTGCAGGATACATCAAATCCTTCCAATTGCAACACCATGTCCGCGCAAGGTTCGGAACCCGTGACCATTGTGGTCGAACATCTGGACCCCGAGCTGGGCGCTTGGTCCGCCCTGGAGTATGGCTGCATTGCCCGTGAATCATACGCCGCGGGAAGCAAATTTCTCCTCAGTTCGGTGCCCACCTCCTTGCAGATGCCAGAAGACCTGGCTGCTACCCCAGGCCTTGGGGTGGAGCATCGCAGTGTCGAGCAGATCTTTGCGGATCGGAAATCCAGAGTCTGCCTGTTGGACCCCGCTGCCACCGTGGAGTTGAGTCCCGCTGATGCAGACACTTTTGATGTCTTCCTTTTCGGAGGTATTCTTGGTGAGTGCTTCCAATCATCGAGCCTGGACTGTCGGAGGTATCTAGTTGGCATTATGATAATTTTAAGATAGCTAACCGTCGAGATCTGCTGGTCTTTAGGCGATGATCCTCCTCGTGGTAAGTTCCCTTTTGCAATAGCAGTAACCATGAGGTTCAAGGTGCTGACGAAATGGATTCAGATCGGACTTCCGAACTGCGCAAGAAGGGTTATGCCGGAAGAAGACTGGGCCCTAAGCAGATGACCACGGACACGGCGGTGCGTGTTACGCGCATGGTCGTGCATGAGAAAGGTCAACCCCTGCTTCTCCGGACAGTGAGATGAGAGAGAAGAGCTGACCCCGGGACAGTGCCCCTGGAGCAAATCCAGTACATTGACTACCCGGAAATTTTGATTAACGAGCATGAACGCACCGAGATGCCGTTCCGCTATGTAAAGGGCGATGATGGAGAGCCAATCATGCCCAAGGTGCGTCCTGGAAGAACCTCTTCACCCGCAGAGACATCATTTCTCATCTCCGATATCACTGACAAATCCCAGGGCATGGTTGATTTGATCAAAAAGGATGCTGACCAGGGCATCGATGATCTTGTTTAATCTGGTATACCAGCGACGGACGTAGCTTGCCCGAAAAATAAACCTCTGTACAGGATAGTTAAAAGAGAGAAATATAATAAGAAATCATGAGCGCTAGACCCGCAAGAATGAAGAAGGACTAAGTCATGGACCCTAAGGACTGACCCGATTCGGGCGAACTCTTGGCTAGCACCGGCGAGAACTACATCACGGATAGCTTCGGAAAAGGGAAAGCGATATGGTCAGATAACTATTGGAGCTATTGCCACGAGGTCATTGTGGCGTTCTATCTGGCCGATTCACACAATGCATGAGAAAGACACAAGTCAGAAAAGCCATGAGAATGCGACGGGATTCGAGTCTTTCTATAGAAGCAACCTATAGAGCCCCCAAATAGGCAACGATATGCTGAGACGGTCTTGAAACGGTATCAGAATGGTTTCATCCCATCCATCATGCCGCTTCTCAAGCCTGTCGGGGTGCGTAATAATCGTAACCGGATCGCCCAGATACCGGCTGATACGGGGCCATACCGAGCGCCGCCCCGTCTGGCCACGCCATCCTCTTATGCTCTCTCTATCCACTCTCTCCCTCAGCTTCTCTCATCCACTTCCCTTTCCCATCTTTCGCCCTCTCCTCCCCTTTTCTCCTTCGGAATCTCTTGACCTTCACATCTGGCGCGTGTCTGGACAGCGGCTCTTGTGCTAGAGGTCACAAACACTCCTACCCCGCCTCTCTCTGGCCTTGACCTTTATCCCTGTTCCTGAACCAGGTTCCCTCCCGGTCCTCTCCGCCGACGTAATCCCCGAGAGAGTTGCTTCCCATTACCTCCGCCCCCAAAGGGTGACGGGTAAGCGAAAAGTGCAAGGCTCCGCTGGCTGAATTTCGATGACTCCTTGAGTGCGACTTCAATCCCACTTGGGACCGTTTCCTCCGCGCCGTCTTCGGCAATATCTACTACTACCCCGGTCATCCGCCGCCGCCGCCGCCGCCGCCGCCATATCTCAGTACTAATCGCCTACACATGGTCTCTTTATCATCCCGCGGGGAGACCACTTCAATTCCCTCAATGGCGTCCTGGTTGATCTCAACGCTCCTTTTTCTGAGCCCGTCCTTGGTATCAGCCAAGTCGGCAGCAGACTATTATGTTCACTCCTTGCCCGGTGCCCCCGAGGGGCCCTTGCTGAAGATGCATGCTGGGTAAGCTTCAATATTTCCGGAACGGTCCGCTTAGCACCCATTTTACTGACTTGTAGCCTCCACGCGCAGCCATATCGAGGTGGATCCACAGAACAATGGAAACCTTTTCTTTTGGCACTATCAGAATCGCCATATCGCCAATCGCCAACGAACCGTGATCTGGCTGAACGGTGGGCCCGGATGTAGTTCCATGGATGGCGCATTGATGGAGGTCGGTCCGTATCGTCTGAAGGACAATGAAACCTTGACATATAATGAGGGTTCATGGGACGAATTCGCCAATTTGTTGTTCGTCGATCAGCCAGTTGGAACCGGGTTCAGTTACGTCAACACGGACAGTTATCTCCATGAGCTCGATGAGATGTCGGCTCAGTTCATTGTCTTCCTGGAAGAGTGGTTCAGATTATTTCCGGAGTATGAACGCGATGATGTATGCTGCAATACCCCGCTCTGCCCTAGCCTTGCATCCTAAAGGTTTCTTCTAACATCTCCCACAGATCTACATTGCCGGCGAGTCTTACGCCGGTCAGCATATTCCATACATCGCCAAAGCCATTCAGGAACGCAATAAGAATGTTCAAGGAAAGACCATCGCTTCATGGAATCTGAAAGGTCTATTGATTGGCAATGGTTGGATTTCTCCAAATGAACAGTACATGTCCTACTTACCCTACGCATATGAAGAAGGCCTTATCAAGGAAGGCAGCCGGGTCGCGAAGGAACTCGAGGTTCTGCAGTCAGTCTGCAAGTCCCGGTTGGAAACGGGCAAGAACAAGGTCCATCTGAACGATTGCGAGAAGGTCATGAATGCTCTGTTGGATAAGACGGTCGAAGACAACCAATGTCTCAACATGTATGATATCCGCCTTCGTGACACCACCGACGCATGCGGTATGAACTGGCCGACCGATCTGGAGGACGTGAAGCCTTACCTGCAGCGAGAAGATGTGGTTAAAGCCCTGAACATTAATCCGGAGAAGAAGTCTGGCTGGGTGGAGTGCTCAGGAGCAGTGAGCAGCGCCTTCAATCCGCAAAAGTCTCCACCCTCGGTTCAACTACTTCCTGGCTTGCTGGAATCGGGCCTTCAAATCCTTCTTTTCAGCGGAGACAAGGACTTAATTTGCAACCATGTCGGAACGGAACAGCTCATCAACAACATGAAGTGGAACGGGGGCACCGGTTTCGAGACCTCACCCGGCGTCTGGGCTCCTCGACACGACTGGAGTTTCGAAGGCGAGCCGGCTGGTATCTATCAATATGCCAGGAACTTGACCTATGTGCTCATCTACAACGCAAGTCACATGGTTCCCTACGACCTTCCCCGTCAGAGCCGGGACATGCTAGATCGCTTCATGAACGTCGATATCGCGAGCATCGGAGGCAGCCCCGCCGACTCGCGCATTGACGGCGAGAAGCTGCCCCAGACGTCAGTGGGTGGCCATCCTAACAGCACCGCGGCGGAGGAGCAGGAGAAGGAGAGGATCAAGGAGACGGAATGGAAAGCCTACGCCAAGTCAGGTGAAGCCGTTCTCGTCGTCGTCATTATCGGAGTATTAGTCTGGGGCTTCTTCATCTGGCGCAGCCGCCGGCGTCACCAGGGATACCGGGGCGTCTGGCATAAGGACATGAGCGGAAGCTCTGTTCTCGAGCGATTCCACAACAAGCGCACGGGAGGCGCAGACGTCGAAGCTGGGGATTTCGACGAGGCCGAACTCGATGACCTTCATTCTCCGGGTCTCGAAAGAGAACACTACGCTGTAGGCGAGGACAGCGACGAGGATGATATCTCGCGACAGCATTCTCGACAGGCCTCCCGAGCTGGGGGCAATCATAATCTATCCTAGTTCATCTTTTGTTGGGTAAACCTGTGATGGTGTAGGTGTATGGCTTGCTTCGGGTTTTGGCCTTTGGTTTTTGTTTTCTTGGCCACGAAAGGACGTGCTCCTTATGTGCATTTTATCATCCTATCTAGGTTGCTACCTGGCATCATTTAAACATCTAGACATGAACAAAGTTTATGACCGCTTCCTGATATATAGCCCAGACACAATGCCCTCCCCGTCTATAAGCCACGAATCTCATATACCGGTAAACATCGTATAGACCTCAATATAGTCGATATCCAATTGCAACTCCCCCCTCCCAAATAATTACCGCTTCACCGTCCATACCTTGACACTGCCATCATCAGCAGTAGTGACCAAGACCTCTTCCTCCCTGCTCACGTCACGACCACGATCCGCACGCTTGGCCCAGGCCACATGGTTAATCTCATAGATGCCATGCGCCCCCGGCAACACCGCCAGAACCGCCCACTCCGGCCGCACAGCACCCTTTGCCGCCGCCGCAGGCGGATCCGTATCCATAGGCTGCGATTCACCCGCGGAAGCATCATCCACCACCAAGCGCTCCTCATAGATCACAATGCGACCATCCGCACCCACAGACGCCAGAAATCCCGTCCGCTTGCTCCAAGCGACCGCATAAACAGCCAGATCATGCACCTTGGGCAAGACTGTCTCCTCCTCCCAAGTCTCATCCAGGCCCGTCGGACGCAAAATACTCGGCATGCCTGTACCCCCAGTAGCAGCCTGCTCCTTAGGCTGTCTCCTCCAGACCCGGACAGTGCGATCATCCGAGCACGACACAATACGCGGACCCGACAACTCCCTCTTCACATCCTCTTTCCACTGCGCCAACAGCGTCTCCTCCGAACAAACTGGCGCATTCTCCACACTCTCCCAATCCACAAACCACACGGTCCCCTCATGACCCCGCAAACAAGCAACCTGTCCCCAATCATCCAGATCCTCGCGCCAAATACGAATTGTATCATCGTAACTCGCACTAGCCAAACATTCCTCCACCGGATGCCACGCCACACACTTGACATCTCCCTCGTGCTCTTGCATCACCGCAACCGTCTCGAAGTTATTGTCCCCGTCATCCAGATCCTCCCAGATCCAGATTGATTTGTCTCGCGAACATGTCGCGAGGAGCATTCCCGAAGGGGACCACGAGACGGATTTGACTTCGCTGTCGTGTCCGTCGAGGAGAACGGCGAAACGCCATTCTTCGTCTTCATCATCTGCACCGCCGTCGCTGTCGTTGTCTGCGGCTTGCTGTTGACGGAGAATGTCGGTTTCTTGCGCTGGCTCTTGTTGTGACTCGCTCTTGGTGGTGATTTCTTGACCCAATCCCCATCCTTCATCACCAGTCGTCTGTCCATAACTGTCCCACCGACGCCATATCCCCGCGGTGGCGTCGAAACTACCCGTTGCGAGCACGCTCTCGCCCTGGACATGTGGCTTCCATGCTGCTGTGCGGACGCTGCGCTTGTGTCCGCCGGAGATGGTGGAGAGGAGCCGGAAGTTGGTCAGGGAGTAGACGCGCACCGTCTTGTCGGAGCTGCAGGTGGCGACGATGGGGAGTCGGGGATGCGGTGCTGTTAACCAGGTGCGTTCGAGCGAAGGCGGGGTCAAATCCGACAGCAGCTGGAGGTGGGGGAGCGAGGAGGCGGGGTGGTCGACGGCGGCCATGGTGATGATTGAGGGTATTCCGGTCTCTATTTAAGAGCGCCTCCTTGCTTTCCTGCCGCAGATGTCTACTCGGGCTTCTTAGGAAGTCGGTAGATGGTCCAATGGAAGAGGATGGAAATAACGTGGGATTTGGCGGGGAGCGAATACTGACTGATAATGTCGTCGTTGCCGTGGATCGGCGATTAGTCACGTCACAGCGCGCTGAGCTCACCAGTTGGCGGTAGTAAAAGGGTTTGAATATAAAAAAGCATGCATGACTTCAGTCTACAGGCCAGTCGTTCCATCCATCTAGAGCCCCGGAGATACAAACTGCGACTGTATAGAATTCGCGTTCACATTAGGTACAGAAATATCAACACTACGCCTTCACATCCTAGTCTACCCTCCTGTTATAGACAGATATCCCTCCAAAGAAGCCCATGTAACAATAAGAGACCATAAAGTAACGGATGAAAGAGAGGGGGGGGGGGGGGGAAGGGAGAGAAGGCCCCTGTCAGCCCGAACTATACAATTGGGATTACGCTCCATTCTGAAGCCAAAACACCCTAGGCCAAGATGCGATCGTAAATCATGCCATGACATAACCAGTCCACTTCACGCATCTTCTCCAACTCCTCGGTCAATTGCCCGACCTCTGTCACGAACTCAGGCATACCGGCTCCTGCTAGACTCTGGCTAGCCGTAGTAGTGGCCCGCACCCTCTCGCTGGCGCTAGACGCGCTCATACGAGAGAGGATGTGAGCTCGTAGACGCGACAAGATCAACCGTGCCACAGGGTCCGTAAAGCTGGCAGCATTGGTCGCGCTCCCACACGAACCTGTAGAGCCAATGGATCCTGCAGGTTCGGACACGGTAGACGAGGAGGCAGCAGACGGGCCCGACGGGTCTGCGTCCGTTTGGATCTCGACTGTCGTCTGCGTCGCTCCCGCCGGTGCGGCAGCGGCGCAAGCGGCACCTACTGGCGCCAGCACTCGTCGAATGGTGGTTGCCAATTGGGCGCTCGCACTAGGAGGCATTGGGTGAGTGGACTCTAAGATTGACTGGACCCGATCAGGTTGGATCTCATTGAAGTCGAGGGACAGGATTCGGTCAGCCTCGGCCTTCCATTGAGACCGCACATCACGTTTAAGCAGGTTCTTTGCCGTTAAAAGTATGGACGCCGTGGCAACAATCCGAAATGCTTGGGCATGTAGCCGCCCAAGCCGCTGGCGATCCAACTCCAGTGTCTCAGGAATCAGCTCGTCGGACACGGGGGCATTGCTCAGCACCAGATCCACCAATCCTTGCGCGTAGATTTTTGCCATAGGGGGTTGTGGCTCGCCATTTACGTTCTCCGGATCACGCTTCCGCATCTCATCTGCGAGAACCTTTCGGTACGTCCGCCAGAAACGGCGGGTCTTCCCGAGACTCAACGAGCCATCCTGGAGACCTTTCTCGAACGTTCTCTGTTCGTAGCCAGGCGCCTCCTGAATGAGCTGCGGCGCCGCCATCTGGATCATGAAATTGGTGTGATCAAGAGACAGGAGATCTATGATTCCCATAAGTCTTGCTAGGCGATCGATCGCATCCCCGGACGTATCCTCGACAAAGGCCTTGACCACAGGGTCGCGATAAGGTGCGCAGAGCTTCGGAAGGATGGTATTCATAAACTCGAAGAATTTATCGTAGGAAAAAGCGCCAGCCTTGCACTGGTTCTCGATTAGTTTAGGATCCAGCACTTCGCTGATCAATACGTGGAGCGAATTGCCAGGCCGAAGAGAGCGCAGCAATCGATCCTGAATCACAGTAGCCATAGCCACCGTCCAGTTCGTGCCCAGACCGTCATCAACATCCCTGCGCATCATTTCGCACATGTGCTCCATTATCCGCCTGCGCGGTTCCGTATATTGTTCCTCATCAATTTTGAACGCCTTGTTGATGAGGAGCTCATGAACCAACGCCCGGTTCTCCGGAAGGGCAGTAAGGATGCGGGTGAACCTTTCATGAGGTGAAATCCGCTGCTTGTCTAATTCTTTCAAGACTGCACTATCCACGTTGTTGAATGTCTCACTGATAGGAGAGGCAACACTCTCAGTGAGAGCTTCGGTGGAGGGCGCAACTTCCGCTGACCGCGGGATAGCTTGCTTCTTAGCGGCAGTACGTTTCTTCTCACGCTTGGCCTTCTTCAAAGCATCGCGCACCATCTGCATGGCCCGATCAGACCCCGCCAGCCGCTTCAGCCTGGCGAGGAGCAATATCTGGTTCTGTCTGATCCCCTGCCGATAATCGTCGGCCACACCACCGGCACGATCATCCTTGACCGTCTGCCAGATCAGCTCCAGCTCGATAAATTGAGCTAGCATAATCTCAATCAAAACGCTAGAATCATGCGTCTTCCACGCATGGAAAGCAGAGAAAAAGACACCGTATGCCTCACACAGCACCTGGAGCTCAGTGGATATGGACAGAGGCGAGCAGCAGCCGGAGGAGAGCAGAGGAGTAACTTGCTCGAACGCCCCGAGGAGCTCTCGTGCTTTGGCGATCAGGTCCTGTTCCTGTTCTCCGTTGCTGCTCAGAACCTCTGTAGGATGAGTGACAATCAAGTAGCTGCTCAGAAACGTGCGTACAGCACCCCGGCCGCCCATGGTGCCGCTTTCCATGTCTTGCAGCCCGCAGAGTCGAAGGACGCGGGCCGTAGTGGTCAGGACTGGATCCGCCGATAGCAGGGCACCCACATCCTCAAAGGTCATGTCACGGATGCGACCGGTGGTCAGGCCTAGGTCAAGAAACTCTCGCATGATCAGTTTGGAATGGTATGTCCTCCATGCGCGTTGAATTGTTCTTGCGGCTGCGTCCCGCGTGATGAGACCCGCTGAAAGCTTTGACATCTTCTTCTCGTCCGTGGAATGCAGGCTACTGGTGCGGTGGCGCCGTTGGCTCTGTTGATATAGCATTCGCCTTTTCTCTACCTCTGCGAATTTCTCGGCGATCTCCAAACGAAGGCGAGCGTGCTCAGCAGCCTTCCTTTCCCGGTTGTCTTCAGCTTTCTTTTTCGCCCGGCGGACTTCCTCCTCGCACTTGGCAGTGATTTCAGCCAAAAGCCGTTCCCGAGCTTGCTGGGCAGCTAAAGCCCGTTCCTCTCTTTGCAGGTTGCGTGTAGCAGCTTTGGCAAGGGCAGCACGTAGCCTCACCTTTTCTGCGTGTAACGCGCGGTCGGCAAGCCGTGCCTTGCGGCTTTCGAGGATAGAGGTCCGCCGGAGATGCTGCGCTGCGTGATCGGTAGAAGATGCGCCATGAGCCGACGCATGCGAGTGTTGCGAATGAAGGGACGATATCGAGCTTCGGCGGGATGAGGCTGCTGATGAGCGACGGATCACACTGGGTTTCCGGGCAAAGCGAGCGGCGAGGTGGGCAGGGAGGCTCAGAGGAAGAGTAGGTTCATCCGATGACATCTCTACATCCGGGTTGTTTGAAGGTTCGGAGACGACGGGACTACCGGCATCGGGGAGCTGGACCTCAATGTCTGAATTGCGATGGATCATGTTCTATTTAAGACGAGGGTTTATAGTTGTAACTGCTGCTGCATCCGCGCGAGAGAGACCGATAGGGAGGGGCCTTATCGGAGGGGTTGGGGGGGGGAAGGGGAGGGTATCGGATGGGTGTACTGTATAGCGACTGGATTATATAGTGCGACGGTTCAAGGGCGGGTTGAATCCGTAACAGACAGACGGAAAAGGAGAGTCTGGATAAGTTGTTGGGCAGGACAAGAAGAGTGTGGCCGGGACGGGTGCGCAGCAGCACCGAAGAGTCGGGGAAGCGTTCGTAATCAAGCTGAGGGTTGGAACATGCCCCGGAGAGATCCGTGCTTTCGTTTCAGAGGAGAGATTAGTGAGCAGCAGCAGGCAGAGAGTCAGAAGGAAGGACAAAGAAAGGACGGAATGGAAATGTGTGGAGCGGTAGAGGGAACAGCAAAAGAAGATTTCTAACGAGAGGAAGAAGAAGCAGAGCTGCCTAGAAGTAGGTAGATCGATCTTCAGAAGGAGGGCGTTTCAGAGTGACCAACCATGGTTGGGATCCTGCATTCATTCAATCATTCTGCATCTGCATCCCATCTTTACTTTTGTCGTCATCGTCATCTTCGCCCGATTCAGTCAAATCTTTCCCCCCATATCTCGCTTACCTAAGCATCCCTTGCTCGCCTGGGGCATACATCACCAGTACATCACCAGTACATCACCACTCAATAGTTAGTATAGAACATGAAGTAATTAAAAAAGAAGGAGACGAGGGAGAAGGCCATGCTATTCCCCCTCTATCTACCCATTAACCTTCCGGGTCTAATATTACACAAAGCAAAAGCACCCTCTAACCTCCCCAGTCTCCCTTAACCCCCCTGCTACCTCCATCCGATGCGCCATGTGACAAGCGTGCGGGTGCAACAATGACTGATAGTACCAATAGACTCGTTGATCTCACAAGTTCAACACCAAACGCCCATACCACCATAACACAAGCCATCAAGCCAAAGAAAAAGAAAAAGAAAAAGAAAAAGAAAAAGAAAAAGAAAAAGAAAAAGAAAAAAGAAGTATCAATGTATCGTAGAAGGCAGCTTTCAGTTGGACCGGCCAACTTCTGCCATGACAGCTCCATTATGGTGGTCGTTATCCGCTTCCCCAGTAGCCTTTCGAGGAACAGCCGTGTGTATGCATATAGTATATAATAAGGTGACTTCATCGATGTCCAAATATGTCGATGCTCTCCTGATCGTCTTCTTCGTCTTCTTCATTTTCTTCACGAGTATTCTCTGCTTCTTCGGATCCACTATCGTCATCCTCGTCCAACTCTCCAATTTCCGCATCAGAGGCCCCATCAACAGATTCGGTTTCTTGTCCAAGAAAACCATAGCTGTACTTGATTTTGGTACCCCATAAGCGAAGCTCGCCACCGTCATCGTCCGCACTGTTCCGAAAAGTTAAGCCCCTAAAGAAAGATGTGGATCGCGAGCTCTCCGACTCACGGTCTGGCGGGATACCAAAATAATTACTGATCACCGGGGAGACTGCACGACCACGAGCCAGACTATAGGACGAGAACTGGCCAGCTGCTTCGGCGGACAAAGGTGCGTTGGTCCGAGGAGTTGCAGAGTCCGACCTCGGAACACTGCTCGTGTCGATTCGCAACGAGGCTAGCGTTGATAATACGGTCTCATCCGCGCCATAGGAGGAAGATCTGATTCGTGAGGTTGCCATGTCCGTGTTCTCGCCATCAATTTCTGCGGGATCCTGAGCATCGCGGTGGAGAAGCTGCTTCTGAGCAGTATTATATGATTCACACCTAAGCCCTTGGTTAGCAAACCGTGTGGAGAGAG